GAGCTCTGTTACATAAGATAATTCGAGCTCAGGTATCAAGCTAGCCTTAAAATTTTCTTCATTAACGCCTTGAATTTTGGCAACCTCTTGTTCTTCGTCAGCAAAAATCTTATCCTGGAGATTCAGTTGCCGGAGTGTAATCACCTCAGCTTGAGTTACCTCCGCTAGATCAGACTCAAAAAATTCACAAGCATCCTTAGCTTCGGCAAGTTGCTTTTCTAACTGGGCTATCTCTGCCCGACGCGACTCCAAGTCACGATATAGGTCTACCTTGATTTGTGCCTTCTTGGCAGCACTCACCTAGAGTTGATTGATGCGAGTTTTCAGTACTTGAAGTTCAGATTCAACGGATTTCTGAGAATCACGCCATGCTTGTAGCCTCAGGTCCATTTGAGAAGCGATGTAAGAAGGTGCGCCATTAGCTCGAAAGTTCTGCAACTGTTCAATGTGTTGTTTAAGATCGTCCAAATAAGCTTCAATGGAATTAGATAATTCAGCACACCCCTGTTCTCTAATTCCTGACACATGGCGATCGAGAGACTTCCTGAAAAGTTCAAAGGGTGAACCTTTAAGAAGAATTCGATCGACCATGACGTTTAAGAAAAGAACAAAGCTTTGGACGTCAGTAATACGCTCGGACAAGGATGAAGAAAGAGCTGCAAGGAGAATAAATGGAGTAAGTACAAAAAATATATACGCTCGCTAGAGGGCTTCACAACCGGGTTACCTTGGCTTGTTGAGGTCATAGCAGGTTCTATAACAACAGGGATTTGTTCAGAAATAGTGTTCGTTGGTTGATTCGCTACACCAGATGATTGTTCACCTGAAATCCCCGATGGCTTTGGATTCAAATCGACGAGATCTTGAGGAACAAGTTCTATGAACGAGGAAAGGATGAATGAACACTCTCCAAGTATGGATCTAATTACAGGATATATAAAAAAAAAACTTACCAAGTTGAGCCAAAGTAGCAGGAGGTTGCTCTTCCACTGTAACCTTCGGCCCTCCTACTTCATGATCCACTGGAGTCGGAACGGAAGGCACAACAGGTTCAGCTTCAACAATAGCAGAAGTTGGGGGAGCAGTGACTGGCGGTTCAACTTCAACTGGGGGACTTGCCAAAAGTAAGAAACCCAAGCCTCCAGGTTGATCGCATTCACCAATGACGGTAGACGCATCAACTTCGTTCGTTGGTCCTACGTCTAAAATTTTTATCTCAGTCATCCAAAAAAAAAACAATAAGAGATGGAAGTATAGTTGAAAACTTGAGTCTAAAAGGGTATACCTTTTGATGCACCTACTTCAGTTGAATCAACTCGAGTAGTTGGTCTTGCAGTAGCGGATGGAACCGGAGCTGACAGAATATCGGAGATCTCCTGGTGTACATCTTCAGAAATATCAAGATCGAAATCACGTTCATCGAAATCTCCGATACCCATATCATGGGTAAGTTCTGTGTCTCTCGGTTCGTTGACAGGGATGTCTATTAAATAGAAGAATTCGTCAATGCACATGCAGGAAGTATGAAAGAATCAAAGAAAACAAAATAAGGTTACCTTCAATAACAGTTACCGGATCAGCAGCGCTACTACCCGCACTTACCTCCTTTAGTTTAACTAAAAGAAGATAAAGCGCACAAGTTAGTAGGAGAGGAACACGTTCCGATTCACTTATCTCCCGGAAATGCCCCCCAAATGAGAAAACATCTGTACCTGTGTCGGCAGTTGGTGAGGTCGATGTAGTGGCCGGAGGAGGAGCAGTGTCCACGTTGAGGGGTTCTTCACTCATCGCTTTTTGCACCTGTTGAGTGAAGCTGGACTCATCAACATCCATTAAACCCGGAGAAGAAGGCTCGGGCACGATTTCCCCTTCCTCTTCTGGCTCAGCTACAATGGCAAAAGGAGAAATAAGACGCTATATTCAAAGATGAGATAATAAAAAAATGAGATCTTACCCTCTTCATCAACTGGAAGATCCTGAGTAAGCTTCTCTTCAAATAACGGAGAAAGTTGACGTTGTCGATGAGCCGTCTTCTTAATCCTCTTTGAAGCACGAGAATCTCGAGGAACCTCAGAGCTCTCATGTCGAAACTTGGTACGCAGTTCGGTTCCTTGAGCCGATCGAGGTTGAACCTCAGCAGGAGCAGTAGGCCGAGATCTCTTCCTGCTAAGAAGCGGGCAACGTCTTCTTCCTCTTCTTCTGCCTCTTCCTCCCGAGCAGGCCATCTCACAGTCATCTTATTGGAGGACGATAAAGGAATATTCTTCTCCGTCATTCGAATACCCTTAGAAGGAGCACTGGGGGATTGAGGTGAAGAAGCTCGACGAGTCCTGTGAGCCACAGGAGATAGAGGGACATCAGCCTCGGCTTCATCTTTGGTTTCATCCTCCTCGCTGGACGTTTCGAAGTCGTCACTCTCTTCGGAATCAGCTGCTTGTTTTCCTTTGCGGGAAGATGTAGCGGGTTCCTTTCCTTTTTTAGATACAATTCTCCGAACCACAGCATCGGATTCCAGTTCGGAAATCTTCTTCTTCGCAAGAGGAGTGTTGGCGGCTAAAACCCACCGGCAATAAACAAAGGTCAGGTGGAGACCAGGCTCGGCGACAGGCAAACTAAATTGAGCTTCGGTACAGCCAGCAATATTCCAGAACCAGGCTCGTACTCCATCAATGAGGCCTCCGCAGGTTATTAACCATTTATTGGGATTCCCGACGTACAGTTGATCGTAGCCGAATTGTCGCGCAAAACGGCAAGGAAAATAAGGCTCGATCCTGCAAAGGTTCTTCGATCGGGAAACATTATAACCTGGTCGAATGTTCATGAGCCAATGGAAACTACCCGTGTCGAGAGAAGTCCTGTTGGCCCCAGGCATTTCCTCATCAACGAGCGTGTCATTATAAGCACCAGAAAACCGAGGGAAACACTTGTAAAATTCCCAGCACTTAGCATTCTTAAACTGCCTCACTCTGTCGGGCCACTGTCGGGAAGGATACAACCACTTACATCCTTCTAAGAGTTGCAGCAAAGGAATTTCTGGATCAGACACGTCAGGTGCTGACATCATGTCCGCTCGATGGAGAACTAGCCACGCCATTAAATAGGTGTACGGCAATTCGACGCTCGACAAAGGAATCTTAGTTGAAGGCTCGGCACCCACTTTGGTAAAGGTGTTGGCTAGGTTACGCAAACCGCTATGGAGATCAGCAATCATAGCGGAGAGAAGAGATAATTCGCAAACAGCTTCACCGGTCGGGCTCTCGAGATTCTGAAACAAGTAGTCAGCGAACTGTTTCAAACTGACTCGAGCCGCCTTCTTACTCTTCACCTCGATCTTGGCTATCGCTGTTTGATAATGACAAGTCAATTCCCAGAGGATGTCATAAGCAGGAGAGCCAGCCTTCTTCATCTTCATAAGTTGACGATTGTTGGGAAAATATTCTTAATAAGGAGTATTCCCCAGTGGCAGTCCAGATACCTTCATCATTTTGTGGAGCGGAAGCCCTAACTCCCCATATCTGGTAAGAAATGTATTGGTCTCCGGAATATAAGACTCGAACAAGGCAAGGAAGTGATCTACACTGACTGGGAGACCATGCATGCTGGCTCGGATTGGAGCATATAATCCCAAGTTCCTTAACTCCTGATCCCAACGATGGAGTACATAGTTGGTCATCCTAGCCCACCATTTGTCGGGAAGAGAGTGAACCCATCCGTAACATCTAAATTTTGGAATGGGAAGTTCTCGACCAACCCGAGCGAGCTTATTCTTTACCGTGTTGGCCCTTATCATCAATTCGTTCTGGGGCCCGCCATCTGGTCCGAATATTCCCGAATGAAGACCACGGATATTATGCCTACCGGTAGAGCCAGGAGCACTAACATCTTTACTAATGAATCCGCAATGAATGCGCTCATGATCTTCTGTCAGGTGCCACGTCATTTTCCTCGAAACAGCCAAATTCCTTAATTGCAGAAGGGAATACTGTCGAGGGAATGGAGGAAGGAATAGAAAAGCACCTTCGTGCTCATTCAACCAAATTTCAGGGCCACGGCAGAGATTGTCTGGATCTTCTATCGAATCTCCAAACAGATAATCAGGTTTCTTCAACGGTTTGGTAGAATCCCGAGTTGGAGTCAAGGGTGAATCAGTCAGCAGAGCACGCAGAGTGCGACGGCCTCCCTCGCGAATCAACTCCGGAACATTATTATCACGATCTTCACTAAATTGGCGGGCCTCTCTAACCAGGAAGTCGCCGTTGAAAGAGGCATGAAGAACACCGCTCTGGCCTGGGTCTTCTCTATCAGAGAAGGCAACAGAGGGAAAGGAGACTGCAAAGAAAAGTTGGGAAACAGTTGTATAAAAGAGACTAAACATAGCAAAACCCCCCACACTTAGCCGACACGGCAATGATTGCTACCGTGCGTTACCGCGGCAGCATACACTGTCGCGCTCAGGCGCGACAGCACGAGTTGCCGCGGTAACTGAACAACGGTCTTCAATGTTGAAAAGCCTCTAATTCGATGAAAACTCGAATTTTGGCCGTGGTACACATCTTGATTGAACAAGATACGTATTTTTCAGCGTCAGTCCTCTCAGAGGAGAACGTCAACTCTTCCCGGATGCCCCTCAAAGGAGACAAGCGAGGTGATCTGGTCAAAAACAGTATTTTTAAACAGATAAAGAGTTGGGAAATTACCTCCAAATGGCGTGGCAATGGTCTCAACCTCCTCAGGTACTGGTGCTGCAGATTTCCCCTTTGAAACACGAGCTTTCTTCGGAGACATGGTAGAAACAGTCTGAAAACAAGGAAAAATTAGGGTTTTTCGTGAAATCCCAAACAAAAGAACGAAATCGAACCTTAAAATATGATCTATAGGTACAGTTTTTACCTGGGGTTGAGTGAAAACAAGTTTGATCAAAGGAAAGTTCAGAATCAAAAAGAACTCAAAACCCTAGATCTCAAAACCCTAGATCTGTTCGAACAAAAGATAGCCCAAAGATGAAGAGGTGAGGAGGAGAAGAGCCAAATGCCACTTTATATGGGAGATTTGAAGAGTTTCGAACTCAAAGAAGCGGGTAAAAATGACCCAAAAAAGCCCAGCATTAAACTTATAGCCCAACTGGCCGAACGGTGCGCGACACTCTATGCTGTCGCGCTATAGCGCGGCACTCTACACTGTCGCGCTCGAGCGCGGCAGTATTTACCGTCGCGGCAACTGACATAGTCATAGTTCACTTTGTCACAACGACCCCTGGGTATTTAAACACATGCATTTCCCGCTGTATTTGGAATATATACACTCCGATGAGTATATGAGTATAAACTGTATCTCCTTGAACCTCCCAACGGGTATATGAGGTTAAACTATTTCCCGAACACTCCGATGAGTATATGAGTATAAACTGCATCTCCTTGAACCTCCCAACGGGTATATGAGGTTAAAATATTTCCCTAACACTCCAATAGAGTATATGAGTATAAACTGTTTCTCAAATTCTTCGACAGCAGTTCTAATTCGAGATTTCGACAACGGCCACGTGATAAACGCAGAACCGGAGGAATTTTAGCTATTCTACAAAGCACTGAATAGGCTAAAAGATGAAGAAATCAAGGATTGAAGCCATTCACAAACCATTCTACGCAATTTCCTCAACAAAGCACTGGAGAAATTGCAGGGAAAGCTTATCATATCCAAAGTGTCCCAGACCCCTCTCTAAAAAAATGATGAGTCTGAGATACTTTGGAGGGGGTATCTGTAGGCGTCAAAAAATACTTATAGACATCCAAATACTACTAAAGGCAAAGAGAAGACGATAAACGCCATTCTCTTAATCAACGTGGAAAAGCAGTTAAACCACGAAGAAGGTGGTTAAAGGTCGTGGGAGAGCGATTTTAGGCACGATGGAACGTGCTGATAACCGCCTCTTTGGCCGCGGCAGCCTATACTGCTGCGCCAATGGCCGCGGCAGTATAGACTGCAGCGGCCAAAGAACAGTTACCTGGTCAATTGTTTCGCCCCCGTTTCAACTGTGGTGCACTGATACCCCTATAAATACCTCCCTAAGCACGAAATAAAGGACAGAGAGCATTTTGGAGCAGAAGAGGCTTGAGCTTTCAGTGATTTTGAAGAAGAGAGAGAACTTTCACCCTTTGACAAGCATCATTCGGTGATTCCTAGAGATCTAAGCTCAGACTTGATCTTTGGAAGAACGGACATCTTACATCGATAAGATATTCGTTTTCAAATCTTTACTTCGATAAACGAAGGAGAGATCCCTAAGCACCTTCACGATCTTTGAATCGGTGGTCAACGAGCCAAAGCACTCACGGCACAGGCAAAGTCCCACAAAGCAGGAGTTGATAGACAATTTCTGTGTTATTTTCTCGAAAGTTGTATTTTCGTTTATTTTCATTGTAATTTCGTGTAAACAAATCAAAGTTTAATGGAAACGACAATGGAGTCAACTTTCGCTGAAAACAATTTTCTCCCCCCTTCAAATCATAATTAAATTGATCGTCAGAGGAACCATCAGAGAACTCGATTCTGATCCTCTAACGTGTTACATGTGTGCAGGACACTCTCAAACTCATCAATCAACCATTAAAGGAGTTTAAGTGACCTTAACTTCTTAAAAATCCACCCTATATCCCACTACTAAACTCCTGACATCAACATTAACCATGCACGTTGTAGTTGGAGGTACTCGGAATAAAAATGTAGCTGACGTACGTGGTATGCTAGCTCCATCTCCACAGCGTTAACTGTTATATTGTTGACAAGATCTGTGACGCCCCGCCCCGGAATCCGGAATCCCGGAGTCGGTACGCTACTAGATCTGATGGACTGGCCTCACAAACCACCACATGTCTTTTCAGCACGTTTTTGTCCTCACTCACGCGCTCCCTGGAAAACTTCCCAGGGGGTCACCCATCTTAGAATTTCTCCAGGCCAAGCACGCTTAACTTTGGAGTTTCTAAGAGTTGGGTTCCCGAAAAGAAGATGCATCTTGGTGGTATGAGTATTCCAATCAAATCTATCAATACTAATCACATCACCCTCTTAAGGGTTGGGGTATTACAAACTCCCCCACTTAAACTCGCAACGTCCTCGTTGTGCCAAATCATATCATCCAAGACCGTACCATCCGTGTGAGATTCTAGAGGTGGCTCATACGGCCTCAAGAGGTGGCTCATACGGCCTCTCGACGTAGCACTTTGCGCCGTATAGCACTTAGTTCTCATAATTCCGGTTGGTTTGGCTCTGATACCATTTGTGACGCCCCGCCCCGGAATCCCGGAGTCGGTACGCTACTAGATCTGATGGACTGGCCTCACAAACCACCACATGTCTTTTCAGCACGTTTTTGTCCTCACTCACGCGCTCCCTGGAAAACTTCCCAAGGGGTCACCCATCCTAGAATTTCTCCAGGCCAAACACGCTTAACTTTGGAGTTTCTAAGAGTTGGGTTCCCGAAAAGAAGATGCATCTTGGTGGTATGAGTATTCCAATCAAATCTATCAATACTAATCACATTACCCTCTTAAGGATTGGGGTATTACAAGATCGATGCATATTCAGACCGTCAGCTGTGAACCGAGCGTGTCGGTGACTAAGATGTAATTATTTAGACATGTTTCACGTCCCAAAAAGATTTAGTTTTGGACAAGGATTTGGATTCTGGAACAATCCTGACTCAGTTTAAGGCTACAAATTAGCATAGCAAAGACTAGTTTAAGTTGCGGTCGAGTTATGTGCGAAAGCGAGGTTTTAATAGCAGAGTGGGTATTTCCCCCATAAGGGCCTGTTTGGATGGACGTAACTATTAGGAGTAAGAAGTTGATCGAAGATGTAACTTTCTCAATTATGAAGTAGAAAGTAGCAGAAATAGTATTTATTTTGTTTGTTTCATATATTTTTAGAAGTAACGAAAATAGTACTTCATCATCTTCTTTTATTTATTTGCTTGTTTGGATAGAAATCGGATATATATTATTTAAGATCATCTGCCTTTGGTAAATCTCTAATTTAAGTAGACCCCGTTTTTTATCCACTTTCCTTCTACTTCTGAGGTTTCAAGGGCGGGAAAAAAAATCTAGGAAGTAGGAGTGCCACATAGACGTCATATCTGTATTTATGAAAGTAGCTGAAGTAGTCTTTTCGAAGAAACAAACATAATTTTTTGCTTGAAAATAGAAGAAGAGCTTTGCTACAGGGACCCAAAATATGGGACCAATAGAGGGGACAAGTGAGGTGTCTCCCTCCTATTGGATAATGAGTTGGCCATCATTAATGATGACCAACTCATTATCCAATAGGAGTGAGACACCTCACTTGTCCCCTCTATTGGTCCCATATTTTGGGTCCTTGAGGAATTTTTCATAGAAGAAACTTTATCTACTCCAGTTACTACTTTACTATTTTCGTGCAAACAAACAGGCCCTAAACTGGTTTAAGATTACCAAGAATGTCATAATTGTCATTAATAGAGCACATAGTTATTTCCATGGGCTCGCGCACTAAGTCCATCAAATTAGGATCTAACCAACCAACCAAAGTCCTCACTTGTACTCAACGCGGTTCCCCAGCCGACGCGAGCGCCATCCGGTGAGCCCCCACCGCACTCTCCCGCCCACACCCACATACGCACGTGTCAGTCACCCCACGTCCCACACCTTCCCCAACACAACCGCCTTAAATTTACAAAAACATAATTTTCCACTCCCTGCCCCCTAATAAATATCCCCCCCTCCGGATCCTTGGTTTCAAACTCTCCTCGTCTATTTTTGGTCAACGGTCCAAAGCGACATCATATCAACTCCCCCAGCAAAGTCAACCCATCCATTTTATTGCCTCCCCCCCTCCACATCAATTGCAAAGGTAATTGGTTTGCTAAGCACTGCTCCTGCTTCCACTTCGCCGTCGGCGAGGCGGCATCGATTCCGCCGCGCTCACTCCGAGCCCTTCTTGACGAGGGTTTGGGCCACTCCTTCTGTACTCTCCGAACCTAATCCTATCCGGCGGCACAATTCTACTCCATCTCCGGGCCTCCGTCAGCGCCAACGCCTCCACCGCCCTCTCACGACGTCTCCGCGCTCTCGGTCGCCGCCGCGGCATTCGACAGCTCCACCTCCTTCGCCTCCTACCCCTCTGCCCCGTCCTATCGATCTTATCGGGCCCCATCGACCGCCGGGTTCTTATCCGGCGCTCGATCCCGGCGCCGCTTCTCCGGCCGCTCGATGAAGATTTGGGTCGAATTCAGTAACTTTAGGGTTGAGGCGAGCTTCTCTCACGGCGGGAGATTGATCGAGCTCTCGAGGAGATCGGCCGGTCGATCTCGATTCGAGGACGATCTCGAGGAGTCCAGCAGCGGGCGCCAGCGTCGAGATCCGGCGGCTGCGGCGACGGAGACGAGAAGGATGACGTCACAGCAGCCTGCAGTGGGCCCAGGGGAAGCGGCGAGGACCGGGTCCACGTGGTGGCTCCGGGACGCACGGGTGGATCTTCGTCGGGATCTACGACGGATTCAACGGCCCCGACGCCACCGACTTCCTCCTCTCCAACCTCTACTCCGCTGTCCAGCGAGAGCTCAATGGCATTCTCTGGATCCAAGAAGAACGACATCAGGATTTTTCGCTGGAGAAAAGGAAAACTCGATGGAAGCGCGATTGGGATAAAGGCAGCTTCGAATCGAATAGACCCGCAAGATCGAGATCGGTGAATTCTGTGAGCCATACCAAAGTTTTGAAGGCGATGAATCGAGCTCTGAGGAAAACAGAGGAGGAGTTCTTTGACGTCGCGGATAAGATTTCGTCGGAGAATCCTGAGCTTGCTTTGATGGGATCTTGTGTTCTTGCCGTTCTAATGAAAGGGGAAGATGTTTACATAATGAATGTCGGAGACAGTCGAGCTGTTTTAGGGAAGAAATCAGAGATAAAGGATTTGCAGAGGATTAGTGAAGATGGTGAGGGTTTCAGAGGTTTGTCCACTTTGGATGCGATTCAGTTGACGTTGGATCACAGTACATGTGTTGAGGAGGTAAATTCTGAAGAAAAGATTTCGATCGGGCTATTTTGATGAAATTGTATTGATTTTGGATGATTTTTTTTTTCATGGCTTAGGAAGTTCGGAGGATTAAAAGAGAGCATCCTGAGGATGCTTGTGCGGTGATGAATGATCGAGTGAAGGGTTCTTTGAAGGTGACCAGAGCTTTTGGTGCTGGATTCTTGAAACAGGTATTCATCCTCATATTTTGTATGATTCCACGAACGTTAATAAGTTCCTATTGATTTGGTCTTAAAAGATTTGAGTATGCAATGCACATCATTATCACCACATTTAGCATTTTAGTTACTCAAAGAATTTCCTTCGCGCATCAAGTTGATAGCTTGTGCATTTACTTTGTGCTAATAGTAGAATATTGAGGATTCTTTTTCCTCTCTTCTCATTCTAGCATGAGTTGTTAATCAAAAGTTTCCCCTCAGGTGGAACATGCATTTGTGGATTCTTGTTTTAGGGATTTGTACGATTTTAAGACCATGTAGCATCTCTGAAAGTTCCAACTCTGTTCCATACAGAAGAGAAACTTAGCCTGCATAAACCTTGAATTACCCGTAACTCAGGATTTGTGAGACTCTGGAAATTGATTCCTTGATATAGTTGGTATTTGAACTTGCAAGTTCTTGTAGTTATACCGCTCACCAATTTCTTATCGTGACATTTTCTTCGAATTGCAGCCAAAATGGAACAGTGCGCTCTTGGAGATGTTCAGAATTGATTACGTTGGAACATCACCATACATTACATGCCATCCGTTTCTCTATCACCATGAACTTGGATCTAGAGATAGATTTTTGATACTTTCATCTGATGGGCTTTACCAGTACTTCACTAATGAGGAGGCAGTTGCTGAAGTGGAGTCGTTCATTGCCACAATTCCTGAAGGTGATCCTGCGCAGCACCTCGTTGAGGAAGTTATCTTTCGTGCAGCGAGAAAAGCTGGTAACTACATCTTCTCTCTATGTATGCTTGTATTCAATGTTTTCTCTGCGAGACGTTAGGATTCAATATTCATAATCTGTAAATACCTGATAGCAGCATTAGAATTAGATCTATATTCACATTGGAAAACTCTTGTAAACATAATCCAAAAATATATAATCGGGAGAAAGAGAAAAGCTACACCAAAGTTGTATAATGTGTATTTGATTCATAACTGCATAAATCTAGTTATAAGGCGCATATATAGCTCATGACAAACTCTCGAGTTGATTAAACCTTGTTTATTTTTTTTAAAAATAATTGATTATGCGTTTGTTCTACTTCTTGTTGTAGGACTAGATTTCCATGAGTTGCTTGAGATACCACAAGGTGACCGAAGAAGATATCATGACGATGTCTCCATCATCGTCATCTCCTTTGAAGGAAGAATATGGAGGTCTTGCGTGTAGATAGAACTATCAATTAAGAAGGAATGCCTTTGAAGGGAGAACATGGTGATCTTGCATGTAGATAAAGTTACAAATCCAGAAGGAAGGTTTAGATCATATTCATACCACAGAAAAGCTAGTCTTTTCTGTTTTTTCGCCAACCACCTTTGTATCATAAGCTTTTGAGGGAACTTTTGCTTCCATGTTTGTTGAGGTGATGGAGGTTGTAAATGTAATTTTCTAATAAATTTGTTTATTCAAGTTAAATATCTCAAAGTGATGAGACCCATTAGTCTCCATTCTTCTTTCAGAGTCTTTTTTTAGCAATCTTTCATTGTTTTCATGTATATACTCAAGGGTTAATTGCACATATACCCCCTTAGTATTTTTTAACTCACTATACCTCTGTGGATTCATTTTTGCAGATAGACCTCCTGGGTTAAATCTTTTTGACGCTTTTACCCTGTTGAAAATTTGGCAGATATTCCTCCTGAATGAAATAGCGAGTCAACAAAAAATTTAACCCAGGGGGGTCTATCTGCAATAATAAAACCACATGGATAGTTAGTTGAGAACAACGATATTATAGGCGGTCTATATGCAATTTACCCTATTACAATGTGATTTCACATAATATTCTCAATTCAGCTTGGGCCTAATATATTGAAAGATTTTCTTTTCAGCTGCCATCTCAGGGACTCGCAATGTGAAAATATAACTGTAGCGAGCAATATTAATTTAGCTGAAACATTGGTTTAAATTCAGCTAAGTCTTCAGTAATTTAATATCTACTTGAATTTTTCTGTTCTTTCGTGTGTCTGAAGTATGAACAGGCTCTGGGTATTTTTTAAAGTTCTATCAGTTACCTGAAATTTGAATGAAGGTATTAAATAGTACTGGTGTTTTGGTCAATGAAAGGCTATCTAAAAAATTTGAGCGTTTACTTCTTTTCCTTCTTTTATTAGCTCTCATTTGTATGGTTGACATCTGAGCAGCGACCTATTGAGCATTAACTTCTCTCTTGGAAAAACTATACTCAGGTCCCTGAGGTTTTCTGCACATATTTTCACCCCCCAAGTCATTCCACCATTTTTTTGGGGTCCATGGAATAATTCATTCACACTGCAAGTCTGCAACCCTTTATAGCCACAACACATAATCTTCTGCTAGATTAAATTCTTCTTAGTTTAGCTACCTTCATACTGCAAAACTTTCACGACGAATCCGGGAGAGTCTCAGGGGGACTAAACGAAAATTTTCCTTTTTTGTTCTCCCCCATTTGTCCATTGATGATATATTGATTACTAACTGCTCGCCTGATACATCCAGTGGTAGTTAGTCCTAGTGCTTGAAAAGCTTTCATCAGATCAAATTTTTGCAATCTCCAACTTTGAACCTACTTAATTATCTTTTTTTAGTGTTAAATTAATTGAGTTTGTAGAAAATTTCAAATGAATTAGCGTGAAAGCAAGCATATGCACAACAACATGCATCATCAAAGTTGAGGCAGGTAACATACTTGACTTGAATTATGTCAGACACACTTAAACCATTTTTTTCATCAGCATTGCAAGAAAAAACGTATTTTTTTTTCAAACCGGGTAATTTGAGGAGCAGTTGTTTTGAGAAATGGATTAGGTTCTTCAAATAAGAGGATCCAAATTAGCTTAGATAACAGCACTTTAGTTAATTTGGAGAAGCTGATGCGATTCTTGATTTGTTAATGGTTGTAGCAAAGAGAAAAGTTGGAACATGGAAGAGGAGTTAGTTTTACGGTGGCAATATATATTTTTTTTACTTTATTTTACATTGAACAGTGTACTCAAATTTTGGAGCTGGATCCAAGAAGTTGGATATAAAAACACGTATCTCAAAGTTTTGGAGCTGGATCCTGCATTATGATTATCATATTGCTTATACACATATCTTGATGCTCATTTCGACATGACGATCATCTGGTCTAACCTGAGTATGGACTAAAAGTTGATCAAGCCTCACATATATATTTGGGATTTATGATCTAGTCATTTCGCACATAAAAAAAAAAAAATAGTTGATGTTGGGATATTATGAGAAAATGTCAACTCGAGCACAAGAATATCACCGAAAAATAGGCAGATGGCTGCTTGCTGCCGGAACCCCCTGTGAAAACGGCGAAGGAATTGTGAAAAACGTGAAGAATAACTCAAAACAGGCTCCACCACACCCTGGTGTGGTGTCTGCCATGGGTGTGGTAGAGTCTGTCCTGCACCACACCCTCTGCCACACCCACGGTGCAGGGTGTGGCAGAATCTGTCCTGCACCACTCCTGCACCACACCCTCTGCCACACCCATGGTGCAGGGTGTGGCAGACTCGTTTTTAGAATCCTTATTTGTTGAGGAATCCTCCTTTGTTTGGGATTGTGTTTTATTATAAATAGGACCACGTTTTTTAGGGTTTCAAAAGGAGAGAAAAGAAGAGATTTAGCATTGTTTTGAGCACTTTGAGAGGGAGATATTGTGAGGGAGTTGAGAGCTTTGGTTAGGGTTATATTTGAGTGATTTTGTGAGTTGTAACCCGTTGTATTTCTCCTCCATATATAGTGAAATCTCCCCATCCTCTCCCCGTGGACGTAGGCAATTGCCGAACCACGTATATCCTTGTGTTTGGTTTGATTTGTCGTAATTGGTTTGATTTGTGCAAGAGTTTGGCTTTCTTCTACTCGTGATCACAGGTTCGTTGTGAGTTCGTGCAAGGCTTCCGCAAAGGCGCGCAACAAGTGGTATCAGAGACCAGGTTCAGATCTAGGGTTTTGGATTAGGTGGAGGAAGATTCAGTTTGAAGCTTGGTTCTTGGAGTTCTAGGTTTTGGTGGAGTTAGGGTTTGAAGTTGCCGTTGAAGATCTCGCTTTCCTCGTGTGGTTAGGAGTTCTATTTGGAATCCAATCTAGGGTTCAGTTGGGTAATTTCTTATTCTTTCAAAGTTTGGGATCTTTCTCTACAATTTGGAAGTTGTGATTATGGGTGAAGTAATTGGTGAAAGCAGCAAGATGACAGGCACAGTTCAAGTGGGTTTTCAGAACACTAAGATTAGTGTTGTGAAATATGACGGCAAGATCAATTTTGGTTTGTGGATGAGCGACGTACAGGATGCGCTCAATGCTCAAAATCTGGAGGAGACCATCATGGTCGATGTGAGGCCACCTAAATATGAAGAGGCGATATGGGAAAAGATGAATCGAAATGCTTGCGGGGTGATCAGGTCCTGTTTGGAACAGGAGCTGAAATACGATGTGATTGGGGTGACGTCTGCGATGAAGATGTGGGAAATTCTCAACAATAAGTACCTTACGAAGAGTGTTGAGAACCGGTTGCACTTGCTGCGAAGGTTATTCAGATTCCAGATGTCCAGAGGTACCTCGCTTGCGGCTCATGTGAACAACTACACTAAGTTGTTGTCGGACTTGGCGAACGTGGATGAGAAGATCACAGATGAGTACAAGGCTATTATTCTTTTGGGCTCCTTACCGGATGAGGAGTATGATACCTTCGTGCTTACGTTGCTGAACGGGAGATCTTCTATCACTTATAGTGAAGTGACTAACGCATTGACGAACTATGATTTGAGGAGGAAGGATAAGGAGACTTCCCGCGCTAGTACTTCAGGAGAGGCCTTGTCGGCGAGAGGTAGAAGCTCATATCAGAAAGGTGGAAATAGAGGGAGGTCAAAGTCAAGAGGTCGTCACCAGCTTAGAAAGAACCAATGTGCATTCTGCAAGGAGCAGGGACATTGGAAGAGAGATTGCCCGAAAGTCAAAGAAAAGGAGAATAGCAAGAATAAGGGCCCGAAGGCCAATGAGGTGAATGTTGCTAGCGGCAATGATTCTGATGATTCGAGCTTTTCTCTTTTGATTACTCCAGAGGTGAACCATTTGGATGCATCAGATTGGATGCTTGATTCTGGCGCTACTTATCATGTGACTCCTAGGCGAGATTGGTTCTCATCATTTGAGAGACTCGATGGGGGTGTTGTGGTCATGGGAAATGATCAATCCTGTGGCGTTCGTGGGATAGGTACTGTGAGGATTCGGATGCACGATGGAGTAGTCCGTGAGCTGAAGGAGGTGAGATTCGTTCCTCAACTTAAGAAGAATCTTATCTCAGTGGGGGCTTTGGAGGCGAAGGGATTCAGGGTGACCTTTGAGGATGCTGTAGCAAAGGTTACTAAGGGATCTTTGGTGGTGATGAAGGGAGTCCGAAATCATAATTTATATTATCTGAAGGGGAGCACCGAGATTGGCCAGGTTGCTTCGGCGATTTCAGAGGCGGACATGAGCAGACTTTGGCACTACAGGCTAGGGCATACAGGTGAAAAGTCACTGCAGGCATTGTGCAAGCAGGGGCTTTTGAAGGGAGCCAAGAGTGGTAAAGTAGAATTCTGTGAGCACTGTGTACTTGGCAAGAAGACGAAGGTGAAGTTCGGGACGGCCATTCATAGGACGAGGGGCATCTTGGACTACGTGCACACAGATGTTTGGGGTCCCACTAAGACGGCATCACTTGGTGGTCGACATTGGTTCGTCACGTTCGTTGATGACTATTCTAGGCGATGTTGGGTGTACACCATGAAGCATAAGAGTGAAGTCCTAGATTTGTTTGTGGAGTGGAAGAAGAGATTGGAACTGCAGACTGGGAGAAAGATCAAGACGTTGCGATCCGACAACGGCGGCGAGTATACCTCAGACCCCTTTCTGCAGCTATGTCGAGACGAGGGCATAGAGAGGCACTTCACAGTTAGTCATACACCGCAGCAGAATGGGGTGGCAGAGAGATTGAATCGGTCTTTGCTGGAGAAGATTCGATGTTTATTGGCGCATAGTGGTTTGGAGAAGATCTTTTGGGCTGAGGCACTTTCTTATGCGAGCCACCTCATTAACAGGCTGCCTTCATCTGCGATTGAGGGGAAGACCCCTATGGAGATGTGGTCGGGAGAGACAGCACATGACTATGACCAGCTTAAGGTATTTGGTTGCCCTGCATATTATCATGTTAGAACTGATAAGTTGGAACCTCGAGCTAGGAAGGCCATATTTGTAGGATTCAAGCGTGGTGTCAAGGGATACAAGCTTTGGGATCCAGTTGATAAGAAGATTGTGCTGAGTAGGGACGTCACATTCGATGAGGCTTCTATCTTGAAGCTTCCCAGCTCTCATCAGGTGGAGAGCAACCCGACAGAGGAGATTTCGCAGGTGGTGGAGATTGATGCAGCTCCACAGAGTCCAGATAGTGCAGTATCCATGAGAGTGCCGACTGAGGTGACGCCAGGCGAGCACGACGGTGATGCGGAGGATACGGGTACTCATGAGCAGGATCAGGGACCGACGGCTCAGGTTCAGGATTCTATTGCGGCACGGAGACAGAGGAGAGACATACGGGTGCCAGCACGGTATGCCGACACAGTTGCATATGCACTTCCGGTGGAGAGTATCGATGAGATGGTGCCTACTACATTCAGAGAGGCCGAGCAGAGTTCGGAGGCTGATTCGTGGCAGGTGGCTATGCAGGAGGAGATGGAGTCTCTTCACAAGAACGATACATGGGAGCTTGTAGAGCTTCCAAAGGGGCGGAAGGCGATTGGGTGCAAGTGGGTGTACACGAAGAAGGAGGGCATTGAGGGCACTCCAGTGAGGTTCAAGGCTAGGTTGGTTGCGAAGGGCTATGCACAGGAGGAAGGTATTGATTACAATGAGGTTTTCTCTCCGGTGGTGAAGCATTCGTCGATTCGGATTTTGCTAGCTTTGGTGGCACAGTATGGATTGGAGTTAGATCAGTTGGATGTGAAGACAGCATTTCTTCATGGTGATCTTGATGAAGAAATATATATGACTCAGCCATTGGGATTCCGAGCTGCAGGGAAAGATAAGTTGGTTTGCAGGCTAAAGAAATCGCTATACGGTTTGAAGCAGTCTCCTCGACAGTGGTATAGGCGATTTGATGGTTTTATGCTTGGTCATTCGTACACTCGGAGCCAGTTTGATCCTTGCGTGTATTTTCGCAAGTTGAGAGGAGGTGCGTACATTTATTTGTTGCTTTATGTCGATGACATGTTGGTTGCTTCTAGTTCCAGGTCAGCTATAGATGAGTTGAAAGTTCAGCTTTCGAATGAGTTTGAGATGAAGGACTTGGGCGAGGCGAAGCGCATTTTAGGGATGGAGATCGGCAGAGATAAGAAGAAGGGCAGGATTTGTTTGACACAGGTGGCTTATTTGAAGAAGGTTCTACAGCGATTCCATGTTAGCATGGATACGAAGCCAGTTTGTGTACCGTTGGGAGCCCATTTGAAGCTTTCAGCTGGCCTTTCACCGAAGTCAGTTGAAGACCGTGAGTTGATGACGAAGACTCCATATGCGAGCGCAGTTGGGAGCTTGATGTACGCGATGGTATGTACGAGGCCGGATTTGTCACAGGCAGTGAGCATGGTGTCGAGATACATGCACGATCCAGGAGTGGGTCATTGGGACGCCGTGAGATGGATTTTGAGGTACATTAGAGGTACGCTCAATGTTGGTTTGGTTTATGAGCGGGACACTACAGGTGGGCAGCTATGCATTGGCTATGTTGATTCGGATTATGCCGGGGATTTGGATAAGCGCCGGTCTACTACGGGGTATGTGTTCACTTTGACCCGTGCGCCGGTGTGTTGGAGATGCACCTTACAGTCGACGGTGGCTTTGTCTACGACGGAGGCAGAGTATATGGCAGTTACGGAGGCTGTGAAGGAGGCTATTTGGCTTCGAGGACTTTTGGAAGAACTTGGTATATCGCAGCGATCCGTCACTATTCATTGCGATAGCATGAGTGCTATATATTTGGCGAAGAATCAGGTTTTTCATGCGAGGACGAAGCACATTGACGTTCGTTATCACTTCGTTCGGGATGTTCTTGAAGATGGCGATGTGGAAATTGTGAAAGTCCACACGAAGGATAATCCGGCAGATATGCTCACTAAGGTGGTTCCGAGCAACAAGTTTGATCATTGTCGAAACTTGTTGCACATTCGTAATTGTTGAGGCCGTTGGCGGCCATTTGGATGAACTACGGGCGGCTTGATCCCTTGGGAGAGGGGGTACGTAGGCAACCGCATTGGTGCAGCCGAGTTTAGAGAGACGACACATTGGTGCTCATGTTGGTGTCGGCTCAATGTTTGGAACACTTCGCCGAGGTGGAGAATTGTGAAAACGGCGAAGGAATTGTGAAAAACGTGAAGAATAACTCAAAACAGGCTCCACCACACCCTGGTGTGGTGTCTGCCATGGGTGTGGTAGAGTCTGTCCTGCACCACACCCTCTGCCACACCCACGGTGCAGGGTGTGGCAGAATCTGTCCTGCACCACTCCTGCACCACACCCTCTGCCACACCCATGGTGCAGGGTGTGGCAGACTCGTTTTTAGAATCCTTATTTGTTGAGGAATCCTCCTTTGTTTGGGATTGTGTTTTATTATAAATAGGACCACGTTTTTTAGGGTTTCAAAAGGAGAGAAAAGAAGAGATTTAGCATTGTTTTGAGCACTTTGAGAGGGAGATATTGTGAGGGAGTTGAGAGCTTTGGTTAGGGTTATATTTGAGTGATTTTGTGAGTTGTAACCCGTTGTATTTCTCCTCCATATATAGTGAAATCTCCCCATCCTCTCCCCGTGGACGTAGGCAATTGCCGAACCACGTATATCCTTGTGTTTGGTTTGATTTGTCGTAATTGGTTTGATTTGTGCAAGAGTTTGGCTTTCTTCTACTCGTGATCACAGGTTCGTTGTGAGTTCGTGCAAGGCTTCCGCAAAGGCGCGCAACACCCCCCTCAAAGATGTTAAATATGAAGAGCTTATAGGAAAAACGATAGAAAACAGGTTTGGGCATCTAGCGATCGACTACGATTGGCGCGACGGTCGATCACGATTGGCCCGGCGGTCGACCGCAAACGTGCACGCAAGCTTGAAAAGTTTCTGGACTTTTCGCGGTTGACCGCGATTGGCGCGGCGGTCGACCGGTCAAACCCTGTAATGTTTTTTTAGTTTTTATCGTTCTGCCTGGTCGACCGCAAGTGTCTATGTGGTCGATCGCGAGTCGGGCTGGGGCAAAAAAAAAAAAAGAAGGGGCAGATAAAAAAACATTTGTCTCGTGACTGCTACTCGATTCTCTACATAAGCCGAAGTAGACCAATGCAATGGGCCAGATTACTGGGCCAGACAGTCTACATAAATCGGCCCGGAGCAAGGCCCAGGCCCAAAACAATCGATCAGGTGCCCCAGGCCCAAAACAATCGATCAGGTGGGCGGACTTTCCACGACCCGAACCAAAAACCCACTCCGTCTACTTTCCAAGTTCAAGATCGACGAACCCACACATTCAAGCTCTCGAATCTCCCAATTTCGATGGGGTTTATCTTGGAGTGGGGAGTTATGTGCTAAAAAACCCCCTTAAAAATTTGAAAATGCCATTCTTGCCCCGATTTCGTGGCAGTTTGTAGAGAGCGATCCCTTGGAGAGAAAAAGAAGGGGGGAATGGGAAAAATTATCGTCGCAGCAGTAGCAAGTTTGTGGGTGATTCCCATTTCAATCGTAGTCAACAAGATCGTTCCTGATCCCTACATGGTTAGTGTTTCCCTCCGCTGTCATCTTGTTTCATGCAATGCGCACAATCTGTTTGTTGAAATTCCTCAGTCGGAAAAATTGTTTGTTATTGATGCAGGATGAGATATTCCACATCCCTCAAGCACAACAGTACTGTAGAGGGGATTTCAAGACATGGGATCCAATGATCACTACTCCCCCTGGACTGTAAGTTCTTTTTTCTAAGACCCAATTCCTTTCCTTTTTTGGGAAAAAGTTGTAATTTTGTAGGCTAGCTTGGTGGTTTTCCCCCCTCTTCTTTTTGGGCATGTGATGGGGGAACAGCTGATGCGCTTTTAGTAATCCCGAACCCATTGTTAAAATGATGAAAGGAAGAGTAATGGAGGAATAGGCCATTGAAGAATTCTATATGGTTTCAAAAACAAATCTTGCAGTAGATTACAACGTCTACTGCAGGTGAGAAAGAATTTAGGAGAGGTTTTATGGATGGAAATTAGTGAATAATGCAATGTGATGGGTAAGAGCTTCGAACAATCTCTCACTGCTCGTAGAAAATTCTTGAGCTTTTTTTCTGTAGCTATACGATTCCAGAACCTCCTGATGGTTTGTTGTGCTTGTCTCAACCTCCAAAAACAGAGAGAAGCTTCATTATAAGATGCAATAGTATCAGGCATTCATTTCATCTCAATGTCAAGCAATTATACATACTTCAAAATTCGCTTCGCTATTTTTATGTAACCTCACAATTTTGATTAATATTCGTTCATTTCGACCCAACGACAATTAAATCTGTTGTACTTTCAGAAAAGCGTGATTTTTGTGGGCACCCACGATTTTAGTCAATTTTCGTTTTTCGACCAAATGCAAAATAGATATATGCGTGCTTGGACATTCGTGATGTTCATGGGCTTATAGTCTATGATCTTTGTCCATTTTTTTTCATTTCAACCCAATAGGAACTAGTTGTGTGAATTTCAATATTCGTGTTTTCCATGGGCTATAACCCACGACATTTTTTCATTATCGTTTATTCGAATTTATACTCTCCAAGTTACATATAATTTTAACTTTTCCCTTCAAAATGCATCATTTATTTAATTTTACACCTCACCTTAATTGATATTATGTTATTTTTGTAGGCTTAATATACATCCCAAACACAATTTATAGGATGAATATAGTTTGTTGCAGCTGAAATTTATACAATTTAAATGTAAAGAGGTTTTTCGATACTAGTCTCTTAAATCTCTAGTAATTTTATATTAGTCCCACAAATCTTTATATTTTGATATTAGTCCCTCAAATCTTCGTTATGTGTTGATCTAAGGCCTTCCATTAAGATTAGGGTTAAAAACATGGGTTAACCCTAACCTTGACTAACTAGTTACGAGAATACCCTCGGGTGCTCCCTCCCCCCCTCCTCCCATTACTCTTATTATTCTCCAAACTTCACATTCTCCTCTAAATCATAATTCAATCCAAACCCATTAAAAGCTCCCATCATCAGCCCCCTCTTCCTTCTCATTCTACTCTCTAATCAGTCGGTTGAGCTTCAACTGAAGAATTAGCCTCAAGGGGCATAAAAATCTTTGACCCATTAACAAATTGAAGGGAGAAGAAGGGAAAACAGTTTTGGGTTGTTCTAACAGGTATGGATTTTGGGAGGAGTTATTAATGGATTTGGGTAAGCGAAGGTCATACTTGTCAATTTATGGATGCGGGTTAAACGAAATATTCCTCTCATTTATAACCCCAACTAACCATAGGACGTTATATCAACACACTAAAGATTTAAGGGACTTATATCAAAAAACCCTAAAGTAAAACATAAATGAATATTTAATAATCAATCGAATGAAATATATGTCTAGTTAAATTCTATTCGTTGAACCGAATATTATAATCTATTTTTTTAGTGTTAAATGATCTGTCAAATCGAATTATAACCAAATATCTAGAGAAATACTTAGCGAAATATTTGTTAACTATTTGGTTTTTTCCACCCATAGTTACAATTTTGGCAATTTTTTGTTCATTTTTTACTTAATGTCAATTAATATGTGTACTTCAAGATTCATGATTCTCATGAGTTATTTCCCATAATTTTTGTCAATTTTTATATTTTTCTACCTAATCACAAATAAGTATGCATACTTTGAAATTCATGATTTTCGTAGGTATAGTCCATGATTTTTATCCATTTTTGTTTGTTTCAATGCAATAGCAGTTAATTGTGCGAATTTCAATATTCACAATTTTCATGGAGGCTTTTGGCCATTATCGTTCATTCGAACCAATAACAATTAATTATACGTATCTCAAAATTCGTAATTTTCATGGGCTAATACCCATGATTTTCAGAATTCAAGAACTCATATATTCAATTTTTGTTCCTTTTTGTCTGTTTCCACCTAATAACAATTAATTAGGTGCACACTTTAAAATTCATAATTTTCGTAGGTTATGGTTCATGATTTTTGTGCATTATCATTTGTTTCGATCGAATGACAACTAATTATGCATATTTCACAATTCATGGTTTTTATAGCTATAATCCATAATTTTGTTAATTTCGTCCTTTTTTACCCAAACCAAATAAGTACGTTACTTAAAAAATTCACTATTTTTGTTAATTTCGTTCGTTGACCATTAAGTAAACATATTTCCTCATTTTCGTTCGTTTTGACCTAATGACATTTAATCACGCGTACAAAAAATTCACAATTTTAATGGGTGATAACCCACGATTTTGTTTATCAATTTTCGTTATTTGACTTAATGAGGAATAAATGTGGGTACTTCAAAATTCATGATTTTCATAAACATAAACTTTAAAATTCACACATTTTATTAGTTATAACCTACGATTTTTTTTTGTATTTTCAATTGTTTCGACCGAATGACAACAAATTATGCGTACTTAAAATATTAATGATTTTTATGGACTATAATCCATGATTTTGTTAAAATTTGACCTAATGACAAATAAGTAAGAATGGTTCAACATTCATGATTGGTACTGGTAAAAATCCATGATTTTCGTCCATTTTTGTTCATTTCGACCTTGTGACAATTAACTAAGCTTATCAAAATTTACAATTTCATGACCTATGTAACTAATGATATTTTCTTATTTTCATTCATCTCGACTCAATAGCAATTAATCGTGCGTGCCAAAAAATTTGCTAATTTCATGAGTTGTAACCCATGATTTTTAGTCTATTTTCGTTAGTTTCGACTTAATGACAAATAAAATTTTTAATAAAACATTGCAATTTTCTTGGGCTAACATATGATATTTGTACATTTTATTTGAACAATTAATTATGCATGCACTTTAAGTTCACAAATTTCATATGTTATAACATGTGTTTTTTATGCATTGTCATCTGTTTCGATCCAATGAAAATTGTGCGTAATTCAAATTCGTAATTTTCAGTAGGTATAGCCCTTGATTTTTGTTAATTTCGTTTGTTTTTTACTTGATGAAAAATAAATATACATACTTCAAACTTCATGATTTTTATAGGTTATAACCTACGATTTTTTCCATTTATGTTCATTTTGGTAGAATGACACTTGACTAAAGCATATTTTAATGTTTGCGATCTCATGGGCTATAACCCATGATATTTGCTCATTTTTGTTGGTTTTGACTCAATGGAATTAATCATGCATGCTGAAAAAATCGCAAACTTATCGATTATAGCCCATATTTTAGTCTATTTTTGTTGGTTTTGAGCAAATGTCAATTAAATTTTCTTTCATAAAAACCACAATTTCCGTATTTTTGTCCATTTTATCTGTTTCCACCTAATGCAATTAATTGAATCTGATCAAACAGTTTTAGAGGGTCTAACTTGTTTCAAACTTACCCAAAATGAAACGAAACAAAACAAAAGAAATCATAGATTTTTGTCCATTTTGTCTGTTTCCACCTAAAGCAATTAATTACGCGTGCACTTAAAATTTACAATTTCATAGGTTATAACCTACGATTTTTGTGCATTGTCATCTTTTTCGACCCAATGATATCTAATTATGCGTATTTCACAATTCACGATCTTTAGCGACAATACCCATAATTTTCTAAATTCATTCGCTTTTACTTAGGGGCTGTTTGGTTCATTTCTATAAAATTATGGAAATAGATTCCAAGGCAAATAACCATTTTAAAAAAAAATGGATATCAAAGGAATCCATAACTTGTGTTTGATATGGAATGATAAAGTGAAGATTAGGAAAACATATCCAAAACTCATGTTTGTTTCATTGCCAAATAATTTAGGGAGTTGTGAGAGAAAATGATGAGTTGCCACATGGTTATCAGCTTTCTAGCCCATTTCCGAGCTAAAAAAAAATTGAGCTTTCCATAAATTGGGCTGCCATGTCAGCTTTTAAGAAATGTATTCTTAAAAAAATTAAACCAAATGACAGTTTTGAAATCTTATAATGTCAAAAAACCTACTTTTTGTTCCAAAACTGCAGAATTACTAAAAATTTGGCCGAACCAAACAGCCCCTTAATGACAAATAAGCATACATATTTCAAAATCCATGCTCTTTATGGATTATAAGCCACGATTTTTTTTCTTCAATTTATGCTTGTTTTGACTTAATTGCAATTGACTAAGTATATTTGAAAAATGTGCAATTTCCTGGATTATAACCCACAATATTTACTCATTGTTGTTCGTTTCAACCCATTGACAATTAATCATACGTATAAAAAATCATGAGTTTCATGGGTTATAACCCACAATTTCAGTCTATTTTCGTTTTCGATCCAATAATAAATAAATTTTCTTTCATAAAAATTTGCTATTTTCATAGGCGATAACCCAAATTTTGTCTTTTTTGACAGTTTCCGCCTAATGACAGCTAATTATACGTACTTCAAAATTTATGATTTTTAATGGACATAACCTACAATTTTGTTAATTTCGTTTGTTTTGACTCAATAAAAATTAAATACACGTACTTCTAAATTCAAGATTTTGATGGGTTATAACCAATGAATTTCGTCCATTTATGTTCGTTTCAACCCAATTGCAGTTGACTAAACATATTTCAAAATTAACGATTTCATGGATTAACCCATGATATTTAATAATTTTTATGTTTTCAACCTAACTGTAGTTAATCATGAGTATCGAAAAAATCACGAGGTTTAGTTGGTTATAGTCCATAATTTTAATCTATTTTTGTTAGTTTTGATACGATGATATTAAACTTTCTTTCATCAAAATTGCTATTTTTATGTGCAACTCATGATTTTTGTGCATTTTTATCTGTTTTCACTTAATGGCAATTAATTACGCGTACGCTTAAATTTCACAATTTTCATGAGCCATAAACCTACAATTTTTGTATGTTGTCATCTTTTTCCGCTCGGTGATAATTAAGTATGCGTACTTCAAGATTCGCAATTTAAGTGGCCATAACTCTTGATTTAGTTAATTTCGTTTGTTTTGACTTAATGACAAAGAAGTATATGTACTTCAAACTTCATGATTTTTATGGGTTATTAACCATGATTCATTTATGTTCATTTTGACACAGTGACATTTTACTAAAGCATATTTCAAAATTTCTGATTTCATGAGTTATAACCCATGATATTTGCTCATTTTCGTTCATTTCGACCAAATGATAATTAATCACGTATATCGAAAAAATCGTGAATTTCATGGGTTATAACCTATGATTTTAGTCTATTTTTGTTACTTTCGACCCAATGATAATTACATTTATTTCATAAAAACCCGTGATTTTTGTGGGCTATAATCCTTGATTTCTGTCCATTTTGTCCGTTTCCACCTATTGGGAATTAATTACATGTATACTTAAATTTCATAATTTTCAAGGGTTATAACTTACGATTTTTCGCTAGATTTGATTTAACGGCAAATAAACATACATACTAGAAAATTCACGATTTTTACGGCTTATAACTCACTATTTTTGTCCATTTATGTCTATTTCGACCTAATCAAAATTGGCTAAGCATATTTCAAAATTTATGATTTCTTGGGTTATAACCCACAATATTTGCTCATTTTGGTTAGTTTAGACCCAATGGTAGTTAATCATGCGTATCGAAAAGTCACAATTTCATGGATTATAACCAACTATTTTAATCAATTTTTGTTAGTTTTGACCAATAACAAAAAAAAATTCTTTCATAAAAAATAACGATTTTTCATGAGCTATTATCCAAGAGTTTTTGTTTTTTCCCACATAATGGCAAATAATTATGCATACTTTAAAATTCATAATTCTTGGCGATAATAACCCACAGTCTTGTTAATTTTGTTCGTTTTGGCTCAATGATAAAGAAGTACACACTTCAAAATTTACTATTTTTTTGGATTATAACCCACAAATTTTGTTCATTTATGTTCGTTTCGATCTAATTGCAATTGACTAAGCATATTTCAAAATTTGTGATCTCATGTGCTATAATCCACAACATTTGCTTATTTTCATTCGTTTCGACCCAATCGCAATTAATCACTGTACCAAAAAAAAAAAATCTAATTTTCATGGATTATAACTCACAATTAATGTGTACTTCAAAACTTGCAAATTTTAGCGGCCATAACCCACATTTTTTATTAATTTCATTTGTTTTGAAAATAAGTATACATACTTTTTTATGAGTTAAAACCGACGATTTTTGTCCATTTTTGTTCGTTTTGACCCAATTGCAATTGACTAAGCATATTTCACAATTTGCGATTTCTTGGGTAATAATCCATGATAATTGCTAATTTTCATTCGTTTTGACCCAATGACACACCGAAAAATTTGCGAATTCCTGGATTTTAACCCACAATTTTACTCTGTTTTCCTATTTTTGATGCAGTGACAATTAACCTTTCTTTCATAAAAAATCGTGTTCGTGGATTATAACCTGCAACATTTGTTCATTTTTGTTTGTTTCTACCTAATGACAATTAATTACGCATACACTTAAAATTTCACAATTTTTATGGGTAACAACATACAATTTTTGTGCATTGTCATTTGTTTTTAACCAATGACAACTAATACACATATTTCACAATTAGCAAATTTTTTGCGGTCATAACCCACAATTATGTTTCGTCTTGAAACAATGACAAATAAGTATACATATTTGAAAATCCCCAATTTTTATTGGTTATAAACCACAATTTTGTGTCCATTTATGTTCATTTGGACCCAATGGTAATTGAATAAGCATATTTCAAAAATTGTCATTTCATAGGCTAACCTACGATATTTGATTATTTTTTGTTCATTTCGACCAATGACAATTAATCACTAGTACAAAAAATTTTGTAATTTTTATGGGTTATTAATAACCCAAGATTTTAGTATATTTTTGTTAGTTTCTATCCAATGGCAATTGAATTTTATTTCATCGAAGATCGTGATTTTTGGGGGCTATAATCGATGATTTTATCCTTTTTTGTTCTCTAACCTAATGACAAATCAGTAACATGCTTCAATATTCGTGCTTATAATAGGCTATAGTCCATGATTCTTGTCCATTTCTATTTGTTTTGATCCAATAGCAATTAATTGTGCGAACTTCAATGTTCACAATTTTCATGCGCTATAAGCCACCATTTTTGTCCATTATCGTTCATTTGACCAAGTGCAAAATTATTAGTACTTCAAAATTCATGATTTTAATGGGTTATAACTCAAATTTTTTTTACAATTTTGTTTGTTCCGTCCTAATGACAAGTAATTGTATGTACTTAAGAATTCACGATTTTCATTGGCTATAAAACACACGATCTTGGTCAATTTTCATTTCTTTTGACCCAATGATAATTAATTATATGTACTTTTAAATTTGTAATTTTCATGTGCTATTACCAATAGTCTTCAAAATTCACGAATTTATTAGCTCTAACCCATGATTTTTGTCAATTTCATTCCTCGACCCAATGTCAAACTAAGTTTTCTTTTTTTAAAAATCACGATTTCATGTCCTATAACCAACAATTTTTTTTTTTTCAATTTTCATTCTTAAACACAATAGCAAATAAGTATGCATTACCTTAAAATTCATGATTTTCATGGGCTTATAACCCACAATTAATTTTCATTCTTTTAAGCCACGATTTGTGTGCACTTTTGGTCTTTTTAACGAAATAGCAATTAATTAAGCATATTTCAAAATCCGTGATTTCATGGGCTTATTACCCACGATATTTGCTCATTTTCATTTGTTTGAACGGAATGACAATTAGTCATGCATACAAAAGATTTGCCGTTTTTATAGGTTAACATATGGGTTTAGTCTATTTTCATTAGTTTTGGTCCAATGATAATTATTTTTTTTCATTGAAAATCGCGATTTGCATATGGTATACCCTTAATAGTTATCATTTTTTGTCCTTCGACCCAATGGCAAATAATTAGGAATACTTCATAATTCATGATTTTCATGGGTTATTGTACAATTTTTATTAGCTTCAACCCAATAGCAATTAATTGTGCGAAATTTAATATTCGCGATGTTCATGGGCTATAGCCCACCATTTTTGTCAAATTGTTCATTCTACCCAATGACAATTCATTATGATTACTTTATAATTCGCGATTTTGTTAGGCTATAACCCACAATTTTGGCAATTTTTGTTCATTCCGTCCCAATGTCAAGTAATTATATGTACTTCAAAATTCAAGATTTTCCCCAGCTTTAACCCATGAATTGTCAATTTTCATTCATATCGAACTAATTATATAATGAACTCCACGTACTTTCAAAATTCGATATTAAATGGTTATAACCCATGATTTTAGTCTATTTTTATTAGTTTCGATCCAACAACAATTAAATTTTCTTTCATAAAAATTACGATTTTCGTTGTCACCTATGTCTTTTGTCAATTTTTGTTTGTCGACCCCTGTGGAAAATATGTATGCATACTTCATCGTGGTGCCTATGGTCTATAGTCCATGATTTTTTGTCCATTTTTTTTTGACCCAATAACAATTAATTGTGCGAACTTCCATATTCACGATTTTCATGGGCTATATAACCCACATCTTTGCCCATTATCGTTGCAATGACAATCAATTATGACTACTTCACAATTCGCGATTATGACAATTTTCGTTCATTTTGCCTTCAGTGGCAATTAATTATGCGTGAGACCAACAAAATATCTTAGTGTCAGGCAATAAATAAGTACTACTTTGACTAATAGTTGGAAGATCATAGGATTGTGCTATTTAGAGGAGGAATTTCTCGTAAAGGGCATAATGCTGATTGGAAGGAAGTTGTGACTATTATTTGACCATATAAATCATGTTATTAGGTTCAACTTTATAAAATACTTGAAGAAACCCTCGGTAAAATATTTGATTGATCCAACCATATTGATGTGGCGTTAAGCATTAAGTCATGTTGGCTTCTGATTAATGGAATAAGAAAAGTTTTAAAGTTTGTAAAATTTTAACTTTGTTTGTGCAGGTACTTTTTTTCACTTGCCTACATTGCTTCTTTGTTTCCAGGCATGTGGATCGCTAATGCAGTCCAGTCATTGCCTGAACTCTGTTCCCCTGCATATCTTCGTTCTACTAATGCTTTCCTGGCTATCATCTGTAGTGTACTTGTATATGAATTGCTCATCAACTTGAGACCTTCTCTTGGAGAAGGGAAGGCAACAATTTCTGCACTACTGATAGCACTGTATCCAGTTCACTGGTTCTTTATCTTTCTGTACTATACAGATGTGGCTTCCATAACTGCAGTCTTGGCAATGCTTTTGGCCAGTCTTAAGAAGAAATATTGGTTGAGCGCTATGGTATGCATTTCCTATTCACAATTTATGGATTTTCTGAACAAGGACATGATTAGTTTGGCTTGAAGTAGCATGTATTTAACCATTAGTGAACAACCTCTGGAAATGTACCTTAATCTTACCTTAATCTTTAGGTGGTTTCTTTTGGTGCCCTCGCGATTGTTTTCCTTGACGACCGAAACTATTACTTGTTTTATAGTTAAAGAATCTAAATGTTGTTAGTTTTAGCTGAATTTGAATTTAAATTGGCTAAACATTTAGTGACTTAGTCTGACTAAATATTCAACAGATCCTGATCAAGTTTACCTTGGTTCTCTGTTCTTTTGTTTTAGGAAAATTTCTAACACAAGTCACTTGCTTTCAAATTTCTTTATGTAGTTTGGTGCGTGTCGCTTATTGCGACGCTCTTTTCGGCAAAACAAATATAGTGTGGCATAGCATTTTCTGTAGCCCGCGAATGATCGGCCAATTCGTTTATTCTGAAGCAGCCTTTTATCTGCACAGAATTTATGCTGAAAATGCCGCCGGCATGATCAGCATAAGAAAAGCTCAAGCGAAAAAAAAAAAAAAAAAAACTGGCCATACACCTAACTGATAAATCAAGAACATTCCTGCTTGCCCCTGCCAACCCTGCGCCGAAGGATGGATACCGCTGAGAGTACCAAAAACCCATCTAGTTCCAAAATAATCGAAAGCTCGTGCTGTGACTCGGGTAGTGTTTTCTATTTTTTGATACAAGTTCTTTTTGATACATCTATTTTGTGGGTGTTATTTCTTCCTTCCAACATCTACATTGCGTATAAGTTAACATTTTTTTCCTATTATCCACCATTTCCTTTCTATTACATGTATAAATTAATTTGTATTCCCTACTTTCCTCTTCTAGATTTTTTTTGTCATGCACCAATTAGATGTTTGTTGACCATAATCTAAATCAATCTTCTAAAACCGTTTGTGAATGTTATCCTTCTAGTTTATTCTCCAAAGATCAGAATGCTAATGATTACTCAAAATGTGCTTTATTTAGATATAAAGAAGGTTATGAATCCCTAGCCTAGTTTCTTTCTGAATCAAAAGTATAGTGTACCCATCTTTTTAAAAATGTTAATAAAGGTTTAGTTCAATGTGAAACATTTCCAACTTATTTATGAAAAGAACAAGAAGGTATTGATCATAGTTTATTGTAGTGTGGTGCATGACCAAAAGAAGGTTTTCTGTAACCTTTATTCTTTCATGCATAACCAGACAATCTGTATCCTGTAACGGATTTGGGTTTCAGGTTTTATTGATGAGGTCCTGGATACTGCTTTAAAACTGTGGAATCGGAAGTGGCAAGTATTGATCACCTTTGCCCCTTTTCTCATGGTGCTGATGTCATTTGTGACTTTTGTCATTTGGAATGGCGGCATTGTCCTTGGTATTTCATCTCCTTTATCTGTCTAGCTATAACAACATTGGTTCTATTGCTCAGCTTGAAATTCAAAAGGAGTGTGTAAATTTAGGAGTTTCTTAACTGTACCGTGTATAATGCTGCAGGTGCAAAAGAGGATCATGTGGTTTCTCCCCACTTTGCTCAGATGTTGTATTTTTCTGTGGTCTCTGCTGCGGCACTTGCTCCTGTGCACTTCAGCCTAGGCCAGGCTACAACATTATTCCGATTATTTTGGAAGACTAAAGTTTGCCGTTCTATTGAAGTCCTGATGGCACTTTGTATAGGATTTACTGCGGTGCATCTATTCAGGTTAGCCATGCTTGGTGTTCTGTAGGGGAAAATAAATTTAGTCTTTAGCCTTCTCCCGTCAAATTTAGTCTAAGCGAACATTTTTTTTTAATTTGCTAATAATGCAGCATAGCCCATCCATATCTCCTTGCAGACAACCGACATTACACATTTTATTTATGGCGGAAAGTCATCCAAGCTCACTGGATCATCAAATACCTTCTAGTCCCAGTTTATGTTTACTCATGGATCTCTATCGTCAATGTATTAGGTACCTGAAGCATTTCTATCTCTATCGATTTCTTTTGTGCAAATTTCAACTAGCGATTTAATTTTATTCCTTTTATAGGTAAATCTCAGACGAAGATTTGGGTTGTGTCCTTCATTGTAGCCACCGCACTGGTTCTGGTTCCTGCACCACTTGTTGAGTTCAGATATTATACCACATCCTTTTTAGTGTTGTTTCTCCATTCACAGATTGATGACAGTACAAAATTGTTGTTCACTGGGGCTATTTATGTATGTGTAGATATATTTACCATGATCATGTTTTTGTTTAGGCCATTTCAGTGGGATCATGAGCCTGGAACACAGAGATTTTTGTGGTAGTTCATGAAAATCATGGAGCTTGGAACACTGATCTTAATTATAATTATATACCTCATTAGCTTTCTTGTACGAGAAATATCCCATGAGTTGGTCGTCTCTTGTATCATTTTTCTTAACTCACTGGTGAATTGTTTACTATTTTTAAGGGCTGTATTCAATTTTGATCTTTTTAAAATTTCATCTTGAGGTTAGGAGTTTCTTTTGGGTTTTTTTTATGCTTGTAGGCTTTGTTGTTTCATTCCTTGTTCTTTTTTTTTTTAAATTAAGATAGATCTATAGTGGGAGGTAAAGGAATGTTGACTGTAAGCTTAATTACAGGAAATGTACCAATCTCAGTCCTCCGTTTTACTATGAAAACATATTAATTCTTGGACATGTAGTTTTACCATGCACTGCAAGATCCAATTTTAAAAAAGTACACGCGCACACACATACATAGTAGTAATTTCCTTTACCTGTAGAGAGAACTTGTGTACCTCACCACTGAATTCAATGGCCTAAACTTCCTTAACCATCTCCACAAACTCCTCCGCGGTCATCCACAACTCATGTAGAAGGGTGCCACATATGATACTCGCAAATCTAAAGAAAGAAACAAAAAGCCAACTCCAGCAAAATACCTACCGAAAAAGAGAGTAAGTTGCAAAGGTTTATGAGAAAATTTAAAACAACCTCTAACAATCTGCCGTAGAAATCTCAGAACACATTCTGCCGCCTGCGACTATCTGCCCACCAAGCTTGGGATCTCTTCCTCCCAAAACACATTCTGCCGCCTGCGACTGTCTGCCCACCAAGCTCGGGGATCTCTTCCTCCCTCGCGCTATCCTTGTAATCGTATATCTTGACCTTGAAATCCCAATACTTGGTGTGTTGGGGTTTTAGACTATGTAGATCAAGTTCAACGGAGCGGATCATCCACAATATAGCTCAATCATGTGATTTTAGGCCGTGTCCTTAGATGATTATCTAAGGCGTCAAATAATAATGCCCACAATCCAACAATTTGATTACTGGGCCCAACAAGCCCAGTAAAATCAACTGGTACAAAGTAGAATAATATATTAGTGCTTATTCACAGCTCCTGAATTAAGCCCAAGCCCATTTATCTGAATCCAACTAACCCAAAATTAGGCGGTTCCATAGTCCAACTAACAACATCGACGAGTCTACGACGTGAAGAGATGTTGACCGGAGCGCCGGCGATCCACCACCTCCTCCGCCACCGCTGGATCACCGGGTGCCGTTATCTCTCTGCGATCATCTCCGGCTTCTCTCTCTTCATCGTTCTCCTCCTCACTCTGACCTCTTGGCTTCACAAGCCCACCATAAAACCCTTGAATCCGCTGATTCCTTTGGATCCCGATCTCGTCGATCTCACTCTCCTAAGAAACGCAACCGAGAAAAATGCAGGTAAAGATTAAAGATTTTAGCTTTTCTTTCTAATTTCTGTTGGAATTAGGGTTCGCTGCTAGTGATTATGCTGATTTCGTTTTGTAGTTTGCTTAGATGGGAGCTTGCCAGGGTATCATTTGCAGAGAGGTTCTGGATCTGGCGCTGAGAGCTGGGTTCTCCATTTGCAGGTACTTTATATGATCAGCTAACAACCCGAAGAACAATTCATAGAAATGTAGATATCTAATTCTTTAATGCTATCTTGAATTACATCCTTGGGGTTGGGGTTGTACTCGCGCTTTCGAGTTTGAGGCCCGATAACTTTTACTCATTTATAGTTTAGAATCCTAAACATTTTTCTATGAAATTAAAACGTGGTAAATTTCTATCTTTTAGACCTCTTTAGTTGGTTTCTAGCTCATCATGCAAGTTGCCATATAGGACCCCCTGAAGTATTTCCAAGATCTTATAGCCCTTTGTTGTGGAAGAACTAGGGTAAAAGGCCAAAAAAATTATAAAATGAAAGCGACAACATATCTCAACATGTAATGGTTATGCGAGGAGCGTGGAAAACTAAAGACGGATAAGAATAATGCGACGAAGAAGAAGTGTTTGAATGGTTTTCAAATTCAGAAATTATTTTAAAGGACAAATTTTCATTTTCGACCATATTTGAAATCTATTTAGCATTTTCGACCCACTTTGCATTTATTTAGCATTTTGGATCCACTTTGCATTTATTTAGCATTTTCGACCCAGTTTCAGCCACCTGGCTGAAAAATTGGGTCGAAAATGCTAAATGAGTGCAGAAAACTACACGGGATTCCTGAGAATCCTGTGTAGCTTAGGACGGAATTAACGACTACACTAAACTCCACGAGAATCTGAATCCCCTGAAGTTGCAAAACTCCACGGGAATCTAAATCCCTTGGAGTTTGATTAATACAAACTCTACGAGATCTTTAATCCTGTGGAGATGCAGTGTTAGTTTGACAGAGAGTTCGAATTTTGAACTCTCTGTGAAGCTGACCCTGTAACTTCACGGGATTCAAAATCGAACTCTCTGAGAAGCTTACTCTGCAACTTCACAGTAAATCCCGTGAAGTTGTAGGACATGCACGCACGTGCATGCACAACTTACATATAGAGAATATTGCGACCACATACACGAAATTTCAATCGCATATGTACATGAAAATCCATCCACACAAGTAATAATTTCGAACAATCCAGTCACAATCTAACCATATATATTCACAAGATTCAGAATCATAAAATAAACCTCATCATATAAAAAGTCACATGCAGTTTAAATGTCCTTCCCTCCTCTCCCTCTCTTACCCATTCCCTTACTCCTTCCCCTTGTCGCCCCCAATGTATGTGATCATGAGCCTTGATAATCTGACTATCCAATTGCATATGAGGCTGAGAAGTGCCAGCTCCATTAACACTCACCGCACTAGAACCTGTCTTACGTTTCACGCGTACACCCGTAAAAATTAGCGCGTCCTGTCCTTGCGTCCTTCAAACTCGTCGACGTGATTCTTATGAAACACATTTGCTATTCTCTATCTGATGTTATTAAATGCTGATATTGCTTTTAGATTTTGAATCTCAGCAATACTCTCATTTATATTTTTCTCAATCTCATCAAATACATGGATCTATAATTTAATTACTATATGCCCAACTTAGCAAGTAATATAACTTCAAAAGAAGAATATTCTTTTTTAAGTGAGTTTAAAAGCTTACATAATCTCTCTTGATTATGGTCTTCGGGATGCAAGTATTTGACGAGAGGCGTGGTATGAATCCAACAACTGGGTGTGGGTCATGTACGATCTATCTGCGTGTGAATCCCAATACTAAAACATATACTCGTTATAGCTCACTGTATTTCTCTCATACTCTATAAGATTCTACCTATCATTCCACACCCGAATATGTAGAATTCACGATATCTCCTCCAGTCCACATGATGTGATGTCATTCGATGCATGCGATCGATTTGCTCAACACGTGTGAATCCCAATACCAACGCATATACTCGTTATAACTCACTGTATTTCTCTCATGCTTTATAAGATTCTACCTATCATTCCACACCTGATTATATAGAATTCACGGTATCGCCTCCAGTCCACATGATATGATGTCATTCGACCCATGCGATCGATTTGCTCAACTGGATCCAACACATGTTCTAGATTAAATTGTCGCAGAACACGACCCGGCACATGAATCTCCATAATCTCGAATAGATCAATTGGACTCTAGCTCTCCACAAATCAGCGCTCTCTCTGCAAATAGGTGCAAGGTAATCGATAACTTTCGGATCACAGTGTGACCACTTGAACCGAAGAATTATTTTTAAAAAAACATGTATTAACATCTACAAAAAAATTTGAATATAAATATAGAATTGTGTCCTATTTTACCTGTTTGTGTTGCATGATATCTAGCTTATTTCTATAAAGCTATGTATGTCCGGTCAGGGTTTTGTCAGATCACCTCCTCACTTTATATCTATTTGAATAAAAAAGATACTAGAACAAATTCAATATGAACAAAACTAAGTAATAAAAGTAATTGTAAATATTACATTGATATACCTGCATACCAATGGCAACAGACCTTGTAGATTGTGTCTGTAAAGTAGGTCGTCCAATATATAAGTGTTCCCATGACCAAACCTGTAGTAATCATGCACTGCTTGAAATCTTTGTTCTTCGTCAAGGAAACCCTAACTAGTTATCTATAAAGGTATGCCAATATCCCACTACCCCATGATAGTGTCACACACCTCAAAATCCTCAAGTATGGTCAGCCATCGTGCATGTACAAGATTTTTACTCGCATCAGGAAATAACTTACAGCCTATCATGTGTAATATGTAAGCACGAGCAAAATACTAAATCGTCTCCTCTGTGGCGTCAATAAGTATATCTCCCATAAACGCTCCTTGAAGCCACGATAACTTCATCGCATCACTCAAATGAGGAACCAGCCCAAGAAGCTTCTCACATACATCCTCCCAATTATGGTCATCCGTGCCCATAACAAATGGGCCATCAATCCGAAGCTTAAGTATGATGGCCAGTGTTATCGAGGCGTAAAGCGCAATGCGGGGCGCAAAGGTCCCTTACGCGCACCATGCGCAAAGCGCACAACGAGGCGCGCACAACGAGGCGCGCACCTCACTAATTGAGGCGCATAACTCAAACTAATATTTGCCAACATCATAAGACAGAAACATATAAGCAACATATTAGTTACCTACATCCAAAATTATGAGAATATCAACTTAAATCATCAAATTATGCTAACTGAATTTTTAAAGTAACAAAAAAGATACAAGAAACATGTATTTAAATCATCAAATTAAGTGATTAACAATTATGAGCATATGTTTATAAATTGTCACATAAAAGACTAAGAAATATAATTAACAAACATGACTGTTCATAATTTTCTAGTTAGTATTCTTAATTGATATTTGCTACTTAGCATGAAAAGATGAAGAATGAATGTAACAATTACATATTTACATGTTTATAATTTGCTAGTTAGCATGTTAATTAGATAATGAAGTTACAATTAGCAAACAAGTATACTAAATTACTAATTATTGTTTCCTTTTTATAGGTTAAACATGAAAAGATGAAAATAGATTAGCAACTAGTAATTTATGTTGATCTAAACTACACGTCCTGAAGTGTAATGGTGCACTCCTGTATATGCATATGAAAAGTATTGGTCTCTAGCCTCCACCTATCAATCAGAGCATGGACAAGGGCCTAGTCAAGCTTAATCCATCTCACTGAAGAACACTCCAAAAAACTGGCCTGACTAACCAACTGTTGTACTTGATCATCCTCCATCTCCCAACCTGAATGACTCTGGGAATGATTAATTATGTTGATCTCTGGTACGTCCTACACATTGATCCGAACTAAGAAAATCTTTTAGAATACACAAATTTAAATTCATACTAAAATAGAAAATACATACTTATTTACTTTACCAGTCCTAAGCCAATCTTGTGTGAACGATGACTAGTCTGAAGGTATAGTACACGACCGTGGATCGGTCCATGGACCATAGTGTATCTCTCTACAATTAAAATACAATACATTAAATTTCCAGTTGAACGACTTAATCATATGTACTCAATCAGAGCTGAACAATACAAATACAAAGCATACAAAAGTGCAAAAGGAAACTAAAAATGAAACAGGCACAAGGAGTAGCTTATATCAACATATAAAGAGCATACTATAAGGATTATTCCTTTATGAGACATCACATAGATATTCCATTCAAGAGTACTGCAAGGAGTAGGTTATATCAACATATATTACAAGAATGTAAATCACATATTCCATACAATCAAGCCCCTAATTTTAATAATTTTAACAACTCTCACTTTTAACAATTCAATTCCCTAATTTTTTACAATTTTCTCTTATTTTTTGCTTCCAATTTCACATTTTCCTCCTAATGTAAGTCTAAAAATTCAACACATTTTTCTAAAATATAAACTAGAACAATCTTTAGGGATAAACATTAATCCAAATTCACAAGATTAATTCAATTAACAATATTGTATATCATTTTCCGTAATTTTCCTTCAAATTCCATACAATTTTCCTTAATTTTTCTTCACAAAATTCTTTTAAAAAATCAAATGTTAATCCAAAATCTAAACTAAGATAAGCTATTAGGATGAAGTACTGGGAATATATAAAAATTTAGAAAAAACCAAAAAAGTTTAAAAAATTTACCAAAAATTAAGCCAATCCCTAAGTTTGAGATTCGAGGAACTCCAATGAAATCTGGCGAACTTCGGCCCAATGGAGGTCAGTGACAGCGGAGGAAGGTGAACACTGAACATAGATGGTCAAAGAGCACAAGAGAGTCACAAACCCTAGGGAGAGAGGGAGGAGAGACCAAGAGAGTGAGAGAGGGAGAGACTGAGAGTGGGAATAGGGGAGAAGTGTATAACTTGTCGGGTGGGGCCAGATCATTATGCAGCTTCACAGGATTCTGAATCTCATGAAGTTGCAGGG